AAGGTTCAGCAGAAGCTCAGTGCCATTGATGGTAATGATTCACATTCCCAAGATTGTTTCTACTTCACAGCACTTTACATGGCTGGAGTTGTCAATGAGTTTGGCCCTGAAAGCAAAGGTGCTTTGTCTTGCATTTTGATTTTGCTGGTCAATTCACAAGTTGATTCAAAGAATGGCCATCATGGTCTTGTATTTGGTTTGATTATAGCTTCACTTGCATTCCTGGTGATCATGTTGTTAGGATTAGGGTTTTATTTTTGGTACACCAAGAGAAAAAGTGTTGAAAATTTGCTAGCCTATGGTAATCTACAGGAACAAGGGTTCAGCCTAAGACTGAGACCTAATGCAGTGTTGACTTGGTTTGAATTTGAGGACCTTGTGAGGGCCACCAACAATTTTTCTCCTCAGAACTTCATTGGAAGAGGTGGGTTTGGGTCGGTTTACAAGGGCATTCTACCTGATGGCACTACGGTTGCAGTGAAAAAGCTTGAAGAATCTGATTCTCAAGGAGATGCTTTATTCTACAGTGAGGTGGAGATTGTTAGCAACTTGAAGCACCGTAATTTAGTGCCACTGAGAGGGTGTTGTGTGGTTGATGAAGTGGATGAGAATCACATTCTTGAGTACAGAAGAAGGTATCTTGTTCATGATTATATGCCAAATGGTAGCCTTGAAGACCATCTCTTTCCAACCAAATTGGACAATCAGAATACAAAGAAATCCCTGACTTGGCCTCAAAGAAAAAGCATAATCTTGGATGTGGCAAATGCATTGGTGTATTTGCACTTCGGAGTTAAACCTGCAGTTTATCACAGAGATATCAAAGCCACCAATATACTACTTGATGCAGATATGAGGGCAAGGGTTGGAGATTTCGGGCTAGCAAAACGGAACAGTGAAAGTAGGTCTCATCAAAATACTAGAGTAGCCGGAACTCGTGGATATGTAGCACCTGAGTATGCACTTTATGGTCAACTAACTGAGAAGAGTGATGTTTATAGCTTTGGTGTAGTTATTCTGGAGATAATGTGTGGAAGGAAAGCCCTTGAGGTGTCTTCATCAGGGGCACCGATTTTTTTGATCACAGATTGGGTTTGGTCATTGATGAAATCGGGAAACTTAGGAGAGGCCTTGGATACTTTTATGTTGGGAGATGGAAAGTCTGCTAGAAACATAATGGAGAGGTTTTTGCTGGTTGGAATTCTTTCTTCTCATGTAATGGTTGCTTCAAGGCCAACAATTTTGAATGCTTTGAAGATGCTAGAAGGTGATATTGAAGTGCCACCAATTCCAGATAGGCCAGTGACTCATGGGCATTATGTGATGTACAGTGGTGATTGCTCTGGGATGAGCTCAGGGTTTGTAAGCTCATGAGAAGTTAAATGTTTTAGAATCTATCCTTGATGAGTTGGACAAGATACCAAGATATGAAATGCAAGATACCAAGATGTCACGTCCTTTGAAACAAGAGTGCACCTCTTGTTGGCATGTCTTGCCCTGTGAGATATTTATAACAGATATTTGCCTGAAGGAGATTAAGAAAACAAACTTATTGAAGATTTTAGATTTTAGATAACTTATTTTATTTTTCCTTCATATTTTTCTTGAAAGTGTTTCTGGAGAAATTTACTCAAACAAACCCATAATTTTTGTCAGAGTTTGGCTTTGAGGATTAGAAGGATTGCGGAAGTGCAAAAGGAGTCCATGGCTGTTGAGAGTTAGTTAATTCAATTACTAGTGCAATTTGTAATGACTTGGTTTTTCTGTTGTATAAATAGCTTGTTGTCTTCAATGAATTAATGAGTTTCTCTTTCACCATTTATCATCAATAAACTTTCTAATATTCAATTAAGTTCCAACATTTGGTATTCAAATCTTGTACAATCCGGGACCTGCATTGTGACATTGCTGCGCATAATGGCTTCCTCGAATGGAAATTTTCCAGCAACTTTACTGGTTCTTGAAGGTGGCAAGAACTTTGATTAGTGGTGTGCTAAGATGAGAGTGATTTTTGGCTTTCAAGATGTGCTTGATATTGTCAAAGAAGGAGTACAAGAAGTGGATAGTGGAGCAACAGAGGCTAAAAAGTTGCGAACAAGGAGGCTAAGAAGAAGGATTGCAAAGCTTTATTCATCATCCATCAATGTGTGGACATGGGAAACTTTGAAAAAATTTCAAACCTCACTACAACAAAAGAGGCGTGGGAGATTCTTGAGAGGACACATGCAGGGAATGATAAATTGAAGAAGGTTCGACTGCAGACCTTGAGGAGACAGTACGAACTCTTACAGTTGGAAGGAAATGAGGAAGTAGGAGCTTATTTCACTCGGGTATTATCTCTAACAAATTTGATGAAAAGTTATGGGGAAAGAATCTCAAGTCAAATGATTGTTGAGAAAGTGTTGAGATCATTGTCACCAAGATTTGATCACATTGTTGTTGCTATTGAAGAATCCAAGAATCTTGAAATCTTGAAGGTGGAGGAGCTACAAGGCTCTTTGGAGGCTCATGAACAAAGAATGGTTGAAAGAAGTGCTGAGAAGACTGCTGAGCAAGCTTTACAAGTCCACAGTGTGAAGCATGAAGGTGAAGTAAGCAGAAACAAGAGAGGCCGAGGCAAATGGAAGCACAATAGAGGAAGAGGTAATAACAACCATACTGGAGTCAGAGAACAACACGATCGAAGGTTTAACAATAATGAACCAAAAAGAGGTGGTGTTACAAACTTTAGAGGAAGAGGTGGCAGGAAGAAGGTGGACAAGAGACACATTCAGTGCTTCAATTGTCAAAGGTGGGGTCATTATGCAGAAGAATGTTACAGCAAGAAAGAACATAATAATGAGGCACAATTAGTCAAGGAAGATGTCTCAGATTCAGATCAAGTTTTGCTAATGGTGACAACCAAGACTGTTGAAGATAGTGAGAATTTGTGGTATCTTGATACTGGATGTTCTTCCCACATGATTGGTAGAAAGGATTGGTTTGCAAAACTTGATGAATCTGTAAAAAGCAAAGTAAAATTTGCTGATCATAGAACTCTTGATGCTGAAGGAATTGGAGAAGTAGCAATAAGGAGCAAGAATGGGCAACGGTCATTAATTTTGAATGTGTTGTATGTGCCTCACATGAAAAGCAACCTCCTCAGCCTTGGACAATTGTTAGAGAGAGGCTTCAAAATGGTGATGGAAAATAATGGGATGACAGTATATGATAATAAGAAAAGGTTGATTCTTAGAGCACCCCTATCTAAGAATAGAACCTTTAGAGTTGAAATTCAGGTTTTGGAGCATCAATGCTTGGTTTCCGCTGTGAATAGTGAAGAATGGCTTTGGCATTATAGGTTTGGACATCTAAATTTTAGAGATCTGAACCTCTTGAGTAGATACAACATGGTAATTGGTCTTCCTCATCTTCATCAGCCCAAAGAAATGTGCAGGGAATGTGTGGAGTGCAAGAAACACCTTCAAGCAACATGTTCCTATTAGATCAAGATGCAAATTAGAAGTGGTATCAGAGCCGATGGTTTGACCAAGTGACTGGTGATCGGCTCAGACGAGTATTGGTTGGATCCAAGAGTAGGATCCTGAATGGAATTGGTAGGAGACGAATATTGGTTGGATCCAAGAGTAGGATCTTGAATGGAATTGGCCGGAGATCCAAGAGTAGGATCATCTCTTGTACTAAAAAGTCTCTCTAGAGATGTGGAGAACGTGTGTCGTTGAAGTGCAACAATAGTGCAAGTAAGGCCACCATTGAATACTCGTGGACGAAAGAAAAGCTTCCGCTTGAGGGGGAGCATGACCATGTGGAAGGTCCGCTTAAGGGGGAGTGTGACCATGTGGAAGGGATTCACACTTGAGGGGGAGTGTTGGAATTCAAGTGTGAAGCAAAGTCCCACATTGGTTAGAGTTGGGCATGTTGAGTAATATACAAGTGAGAAAGACCCACCTACCTATTGCCTTAAGGTTTTAGGTTATGTTGTGGTGTTAAGCTCACTTATGTGACTTACTCATTACCCATTATGGAGTGCTCCCCAGTGTTAAAAACTCCCTAACAATGGCTAATGCCAGCAATGGCAGAAATAAAAAAAAGGAGTTGGATGAGAAAATGAAAAGCAACTGTGCATTGCGAAGTGGCTGAAGACTGATTTTGAACTCTCAAGATTAAACACATCTTGCTCTTTCTTCCTTCTACCTTGTACTACTGGACATGTTTGCATTGCGTCATTGTTTTCTTATTTTTTGTTCCTTCTGCAATGCCTATTTTTAGTGTGGCCATTGAATTTGAATGTTCTGAGCATTCAAGGTACAAGTCACCTGGAAATTTTTCTGTTGCTTAGAGAGGATCTATTGTGTTATTGAATAACAATTAACAATATGCGTATCCATTCTCTTCTTTTTTATTGAATGCAGTGATGAATGGATCTTCCAGACAAAATACAATCATTTTTAAAATAAATGGACATTAATTAAAAATAATCTTGTGTCGCAATATAAATTATATAACACAAATTTAAAGTATAATTTATATATTTTTATATAAATTTTAAATATAATTTAATATTTGAATATAATATTCATTTATTTATATAATTTATTATAAATTTCAATAACATAATGTACAAGTTAAAATACTTTTTTTATATATATTTTTAAGAAATAAATTAAATATAATTATTTAAAAAATACTTTTTTTATAACCACTTTGTTAAGGTTAAACATACCAACCATAATCTACATCACAAATAAATACTGTAAATAAAACGGGATTTAGAATTTAGAATCGGTTTCCTCAAAAGAGAAGAAAAAAAAAAAAATCGGGTGCCTTCCATTTCCACAATTTACAAATGTTCAAGAATCGCTACTTCGAACATGCTCACAATGTACGATCTTAGCTTATTTGTTTTGTGTTAGGACCTGGATTCTGATTTCTTGAACAAGTTTCGGTGCAACTTCCAAGTTTTCTATTGTTGCAAGAGAAGCCTTATGGATAATCTTTCTTTCTTGTTTTCTTTCTTTTTTTTTAATGTTTTGCATTGTGTATGATATAATTTATGGTGTTCACCTTATATTTCTTTAAATAATATTATGTATTTGTTGTTGTTAATATTGTGGCAGACTGCAGTGTCTAAGGGCAGAAAGTTCAATTTTTGTTTTTATTACTGAGTTGAAAACTTCAGTTGGTTTGTTTGTCTTTGAAATTAAACTACAAAAGTAGCGAAATTGATTCAGGTTTGGATCTTGTCTCTGCCACTTATATCTGGAACCCTAATCACATTTTTTTTAAAATTTTTTTTGTAATTTTCCTGTATTTAGTATTGGGGCCCTAATTCTTGATTTGGATGGGTTCAATATAAATGCAATGCTATCTTATGCATGATTAGGTGTGTGAATACAATCTTTAACTTTTTGTAGGTTAATTCACAACTTTCTATCCGACAATTGGTCATAATGAGATTGAAGCTGCAGCATTTTCTGATAAAAGTGAGTTGGAAAGTGTTGCATCAGAGGGTAGCAGTGGAAGGTGGGTAAGGACTAAGTTCAAATTTGGGGTTCTTTTGATGGGTGGCAAAAGCAGCCAGGCTTGGACACTGTCCAAAGGCAAGTTGCTATTCTTGTAACTTCAGTGTTGAGTATATTGCAAACTGCTTGTCATAGGAGAGCATCCATTATTTGTCCAGGACTATTGGATGATCATTCTGCTTCTTGCTCTTGTACTCATTTTTTCATGCAGCATAATAGAAGGGTCACTCAAAATATTTGTCGATGAAAAGAAAACTCAACTGCTTAAAGACAAAGGCTTGCATATTGAAGTTTGTGACAAAGGAGTGACAGGCCTTTAACAAGTCTGTTCCTTCCGTAAGTCATTGCTCTTTTCTTAGCAATGTTTTTGCTTTGTCCAAGCCTTTGTATATATGTATGTATGAATTGTCATACACTCTGATTTCAGCTTGTAAGTGGATAAAAATGGAGTCCCAAAGTGTCTCTTACAAGTGCAGTATTTGGGACAAAGATAGTTTATCACTGTTTGACTTTGACCTCATGTTTATGACTTTATGTGCATATAGTTATACAACCTGCTTTGATTTGGAATTTTTTAACTTCAAATGCGCTAATGTCGACTTCATTTGGTGTGGTATTTTAGATGCCTAGACATGCATGAGGGATGTCTTTGTTTGTTTGAAGTTCAAAGAATACTTTTTCCTAATTTTGAATTTATTTGTCACTTAACTCTTTTCCCCGGGAAATAGGGGCATGAGTCATTTATTTTTCATATTTTCTGCTGCAGATGTCAAATGGTGACTTGTTCCAGAAGAACAATGATATGATAGACTTAGTTTTGGGGGAACTCTCACCATGAGTCTTGGCTCGTTGAGCCTGCTATTGCATTGTATGTATTATTTTTTACTTTGTTAATATACTTAGTCAAAATAATTAAACCAATCTCCCTCATTTCAAATTTATAGTAACTTTAACCTATTCCTTTAAGTAGCTGTAAGACCTAGTTGAACCATTCTAATGTCAAACTTTATATGTTTGTTCAAATGTATCCTTGTCTTTGTTAATAAAGAAACATTTTATGAATCTGAATCAATACAGTAAAAATGGTGAGAACTTTAAAATAAATAAATAAATAAAGGCGTTTGCAGGGAAATTGACATAATAGGGGAAAAAATTAAATTCCCAAAATGGGTATTCTTTTAAAAAAATCTGGAATTGGGTAAGTCGTGTTTGTGAGACTAAGTTGTATTTCAAAACACTGCTTTTGCCTAGAATTCGTGTTTTTAATCAAGACTTTTTTTTTTTAAGTTCAGGTCAGAGTTGAAAGCTTGACTTAAAAAAAAATTACCCCTCTTGCATCAATTTCCTGGCTTTTGCATCTAAACTTGAATGGGTCTTATACTTAATGACAAACACCAAGTTAGATACATAAATAATCACGTTAAATTGTTGATTTAATTTATAAAATCTGAAGGCTTTGTTTCCTCTGTCAAGTGAAGGTATTCCCTCTGATATTTCTGGAACAGGGGAAATAAATACGATTTTCTCCATGCCTTGGTGGGAGGTCTGTGTAATATGCTTTTAGCATATAATTATAAGTCCTTAGTAATATCTTCCTACTGCAGCAATGACCTGGATAACATTCTTCTTGAGAACCTTGGTGACACAAGGACGTTGCAAGCAGTTTTTGAGCTTGAAGGTCTTGTCTTAATTGGTAAAATGGCATTTTGTTTATTTGAAATACAAGCTGGTGACACTTTGTGATATTACTGTTACTAAATATCACTAATCATTGCTACTTGTTAGAATGCTAGTCTACATCTGTATGTGTAGCAGTCTAGTTCATTAGCATAGTTAACCCTTTTTTGAGAACAAAATTATATAAGGACTTTTTTATTAAGGAAGATATTCTTACAAAGAGATAGGAGGTTAAGAGACCCTCCTTAAATGTAAATAAATAAAAAGAACAGCCAAGAGAGGACAACAACAAAAAGAATCAGTGAAGCAAAGTTCCCTAACCTTAACATATCTGAAATGGACACCATTTTTAAAAACTAGTAGAATTTAAATGCCTAATCTTATCCCAAAGAATCTTCTTGTCCTAAGGGATCCCCTAAAGACCAATATAATGCTCCAACATAATATCAAAGTGTAGCATAGATTGCACATTACCACAAAAATTTGGCTTCTACTTCTACTAAAACGATTCAAGCTAGTCAACAAAATATCATCCATGGAAATAGGGCACAGCCAACACACTTAAACGTCAAACAAACAACTTCATGAAAAAACAGATGCAGAACTACGTAAGAACTAAATGCAATCTTCACTGTTTTTCATATTCTAAAGAATACTCATTGTCCAGTTAAATTCTGGTTCATAAAGAATTACTGCTCTCCTCCTTTTAAGGTTATATATCCACCCACGTTATATGCTTCCATTTTAATTCATTTATATATTGGAACATTAAAGTAGAATGATGAGTTTGCCTGACATCCTGAACTGTGTTGGTTGACTCAATATACAGGACCACATACATTGGCTCCAGAGTATGGTTTTGAATATGAACTAGTCACATACAGATGGCCCACATGGTTACATAAACAGAAAGAAAAGCAGTGAATAATTTGGTCATAGAAAATCCTGATCCTAGATGTCATTTTCCCCCTTCCCTAGGAGAAGGTATCACAGTTTCTTCTTTTGCATCAAGTTCCATGCTTTTGGTTTTTTGTCTTTTAAACTATTAGTTTCAACATCATTATGCAATGCTGTGACGAAGATAATGAAAAATAAAATCCCCGTGCAAGAAAATCTGTCTAAAATCTAGTAAGCTACCAATATATTATGCAGGTCATTTTTGTCGATGTTGATCAAATTGTCCTAGCAGACATGGGAGAACTCTATGACATGGATTTAAGGGAAAACCCCTGATACTCTTTTAGATAATAATGAGGAGATGGGTGGATATCGGTTTTGGAGACAAGTAAATGTCACTGTTTTTCATGATAATGCCCATGCAATTTTAATTATTTTATGTAAATGCAGCATTGGATATAAGTCCTTGTTAACCTTTTTTTCTTGTGTTGTAGGGTTTTGAAAGCATCAGTTGCAGGGAAAACCATACCATATTAGGTTAGCACCTGGTAGCTACTTTTTATATTCTCTTGCCAAAGAGAGTTGGAGCCTATCAAATATAATTTCTACGCTTACTGATTCAATTTCTGTTTTCAGTGCTTAATATGTCGTTGATCTGAAAAGTTCCAAGAGACTGCATTATGAAAAACTTAGCAAGGATCCAAATAGTCTAGCCAACTTGGATAATGTAAGAGGTTTGAGTTTAATAGTTCCTTTTTACCTGCAAAAGAGTCATTATATAAAAGAATAAAAGATCAAGTTGTTAGGTAAGATTGACTGGTTTTGTGGCCCCAATATAACATGAAAGCTCAGTGCATGGTAAATGACTGCTTTATATTAAAACTTCATTAGATGGAGGCATAAGGAACCATCTCTAGACCACTAGTAACACTGTTCAAAATAAAATAGTTAACCTAAAACAGTAAGCTGTTAAACAAGGGCCACAGAATAGTTGTTTTAACTTTCGATGTACATGCCTTGTCAAATTAAATTGTTAAAGAATATTTAGCCCCTCCTCAATCCGCTAACCAAATAAATAGGCATGAAAGGAAAACTGGGGGCTACTTTATGTTACGTTATCTGAATATTTGTCTTGGTGATGATTGATGAGTTATCATATTATAAATTTATAACACGTAATTTAGAGACCTTTTGATTTTAATTATTTCAGTATGTTTATACCTATTGACCAAGATGGTACTTTTTAGAAACAATTGTGCGATCATTGTTGGAAAAAATTGACAAGACTACTCAGGTACATGTCATTGTTGGGAAAGCTTAGTGTTGAACAAATAAGACCAGTGATTTTCTTATCAGATTTCGAGCAAGTTGGAATCAGGTCCTTCCTTTTTAGGGTTTAGGAAAATTGAATAATGATTTCAGAATCGCTGAAAAAGAGCAGCAAGAACAACGAAACCTATTACTGAAAAAGAGCTATTACATAAGTTGTACAAAGGACCAAATGGGATCCTTTAGGACTGTAAAATCAAGTTAGAGATTTCTTAGTATATTTCCTTATTATTATTTTTTATGAAGACGATGAACACATCTTTATGTGCTTCCTATGTATTTCCCATTAGCCTTCTCTTTTAAATGTTTGTTTTTGGTTTGAGGTGCCCTTTTTGTTAAAATTTTCCCTTGATTGTTTAGGATCTTCCTAATTGTGCTCAGTATATTGTGCCCATTTTCTCTTTGCCACAAGAATGACTATGGTGTGGTAATGCTACAAAATATAAGGCAAAAACCATTGATTTGTGCAACAATCCCATGACGATAGAACCCAATTGCTGGTGAATGTTATTTTTTATGTTTTCTGTTCGTGGAGACTTATTTCCTATCGCAGCTTATGTTTGTGCACTCCTCTTTATCTTGGACCATACCTTGATTTTGAAGCAAGAAGATTCACAGCACGAATCTCGGGGGATGATCAAGAATCTGAATGAATGCAATCCCTTAATCAATCCAAGGACTTGACTAGTGAAGATCCATTGAATGAAAAACACGGAATCCGTGAAAGATGTTCTGCAAGTTGAAATTTACTCAAGAAATCTATGATCCTTTCAACATCAACATTTTTTTTTTGGTGATTACTCATCTGTGTCTCTCACACTAAGTTCTTGAACTTGCAGATATAGACTGAAACAAAAGAAAGAAAACCATATTTATATTTATGTTAAATTTTGCTAAGCCGGTGAAAGATTCTAAACTTTCAAATCCATTTTATTAAACTTAATGTGGAGATGAATGGGTGGTGAATTTTGATTTGCAGGTAAATTTTACAAAATTTCGTTACAACTAACTCTACTTTGCCTTCTAATGAGGAAGAATAACTATTTGTTTAATAATATATTATTGTATTATTTAATGTATGTAGTATCTTATGTATTATCAACTACATTAAATAATATGACAACATATTGGATAATAAAATGGACTTGTTCAATGACAATGTATCAACAACACACATGCTCGCACGTGCGAACACACACACTCACACGTACGCACGCAAGCACACAAACGCATACACACAGACAGAGATATATATTACAAAAAGCAACTTTTTCAATTTATTTTAATATTAACTTTAATAAATCTTTGTAAATACATAACATTATCAATTCAATCATTAAATTATTAAAATATTAAATAAGTTAACTTTAAAAATGTTGATACTATAATTTTAAAACTAATTTTTTTATCATTGTATTATTAGTATAAAGTATTCATTAATTTTGTTAATAATTAATTTTCGTTAAAAAAATTTAGTTGACTACTTTAAGCATTTCATCGCAATCACCTTTTTTTTATTATTATTTAAAAGGCTCAAATATGAGAATTTACTTAAAAAAATTGAGTCTAATTCTATTTGAAAAATTATTTGATACTTTATTGTATAAATTAAACTCAATGTATAACATATTTTCTTAAAAATATAAATAAATGCTAATTATATAAGAACATATATAATAAGAGAGCTATTTTTATATAAGGGTGGGAAGAGTAAATCTGGGTTGTACAACCCTTCATGCATATTTAAGATTTAATTTCATGTAACAAGTTTAAAAAAAAATCATGACTTTAATAAACTTACATAATTTGTGTGATTTTTTTTTTCTTATCACAAGTTTATCCAAACCATTGAACTAGAAACTAATTTTATTTGAAGTACTATGATTATCGTTAGTATGACAAATTTTTGCATATAATAAATATTGTATACAAATTTTTCGTTACATAAATCATCTCACAACCTGTGAGTATAAAGTGTCTAAATTATGCTAACTCATTGAATTTGTATGTTTTAATTTTGATACAATGAAACTTAATAATAGATATTTATTATATTTTCACTTTCATATTTGAAAAAAAGAGAGTTCCTCTATCAAAAACGTTTGTATCTAATTTTGCAAAAAAAAAATTGTATATGATGTATGCATGAACTATGGAATAATGGAAAGTGACAATTACAAGAATAAGAAATGCCTAACAACAGACCTCACAATGTCAATGAAAAGAAATCATATATATGATCTAGACAAGTCAATTGTGTGGACACCAACAAAAACAAATCCACATATGAATGTTGTTATAGATCATCTAAATAAAATGAATATGGTCTTAAATTTTGTGTCAAATCGAATCAATTATACGTGGAACTAGCCACACACCTAGGACGATGATGAGTCAATATCAGAAAGAACATCCCTAATGCACTTGAATACTCTCAACGAAAAATGATTATTAGTGAGGGAAATTTTCTTAATACAGGACCAATATCTATGAGCATTTAATATGGTTTCCTGCACCCTTAAAATCAGCTAATCTGTGAGAAAAAGCAATATAAGTGTTGTCCTTTCATGATAGATTATTAGCTTGATTTTGCTCTGATGCATTGTCCTTTCGTTAAAATTGAACCATTCAAATGGCTATTCTTAATGTGGGCAATGATTTGGTGAAAATAAATCTACACAACAAAAAATCAGAGAAAATTGAAGTCAACCTTATTATTGAAAGTGTGAACGTCAATACCAAGAACATAATAGTCATTACAAAAATACTTCATATATTAACAAACAAAGCTTGCCTTCATTAATATAATATTTATTTACTATACACTAAATATAACTGTAGACATTGGGGTGTATAGTTGTATGTTTTTTAAACCTTACTCCTAAGCCTAATAAGATTCCACTATATCTTATTACATCATTTATTATATTTATCACTTTCTCTTTTTTATTTTCTTTTATGTATTTTCTCTCTTTTTTTCATTTATATGTCTCATTTTCGGAGTGTACGTTAAATATTTTCCTTTAATTTAATGCTCGGAATAATATGTTGGGTGCTAAAGGAGAAAGAAGAATCTCCTATCTTCATTGTTATGTGTAAATTACTGGCATGGCACAGAACCCTGTCATTTATTTCTCTTTTCAGGAAAACCAAAATGGACTACGTACCACATTCCTTTAAGAATACAAAAAAGAAAAAAGGTGCAGAGTGTGCTCATGTGGAAGAGGTCAAAAAATGGCCCAGGAAGAAAGAGAAAATAAAAAAATAAAAAGAAGCCAAAGGGAAGCACTTTAAATGCAACAATGAGCCGAATCAAAATAGAAGAATGAGAAGTAGAATCTTAGTCAAAGTAGTCAAACTTTTATATCCAAGTAGCACAATCCAATCTTGTACCGAAACCTCGATGGAATAAAGAAATGAAGAAAAACTTTTGCTAATAAACAACGATTATTTTTTAATATTCATCATGATAAATTTGTTAACTCTTATATTAATAATGATTTTTTTATTGAGCAACAAACTGTTAATACTAACATTGTAAATTTATTAAAGATTAGGCTCGGTGTAAAATAATTTTATAAACCACAATACGTAATAAGTTTATCAATTTTATAATAATTATCTAAAAAAATTACATCAATAATGATTTCTGCTCAACTGTGGGTGTAGTAGAATGGTGCTTCTCCTTTAAATCCAATAAGTATTTGTATAGTTTTGAATTTTCATGATGCACATTCTTCTAATCCTCTATATATGATCCAACAGTACTATATATTCTCAAGACTACTTTCTTTTCATTTTTCTCTTTCTCTCTCTTAAGATTTGTTCAATAGGAGTCCGTTTCACAATAAAAAGTAATAACAGCAGATTCCCAATCATCCTCTCCACTCTATAGGAAACAGCCATAATTGCACCCAACAGTAACTTTCACCATAAAAAAGTTAGAAGCCTCTAAGCTACACCCACTTCCTTGATTGCTTCATCCCTTTTCAACTTAATCTTCCAATTATATAAATCCATCAATCTCCATCAACTTCCCTTCAACCACACTCCCTTTTTTTTCTTCTCTTCCAACCTTTTCATGATGAGTTCTTCATGCACAAACTCTTCTGTCAATGGCTTCTACAACTTCCTCACTCAAGGACTCAATGAGCTTCACCAATCCTTCCTCTCCCATGCCTTCATGTCAATCCAATTCCTTTCAGAGGTCCTCTCATCCCTCCAATCCTTTCATTCTCAGTTAACCATTTTGGTCCAAAGACTTTGCTTGCCAGTTGGAGGGAAATGGTTGGATGAGTACATGGATGAAAGCTCAAGGCTTTGGGATATATGTCATGTACTCAAATCAGCCATATCTGGAATAGAGAACTATTCCTCAACTGGCTCCAATATAGCTTCCTCACTTGATGGCTACCTTCATTTGACTCCACAGCTTTCACATCAGGTTGGTATATACACATATCAAATTCTGTTCCAAACATGTTCAGATAATATGCACCAGGTCTTAGGTTTAAACTTTATTGTTATCATTGTAAATTTTACTGATAAAAAAAAAAATTGTTCCAAACTTTTAGTCAACTCCTTTGTGCTTCACAAAACTAAATCATGTTTATTTAACGAATGAGTCTAATAGTGTGTTTGGTTTCAAGTTTCTGATGTGATTTTTCACGTTTAATCAGAAGAGCTAATAGTTATAGCTTCTGCGTGATTCTTTGCTTTTGATGAGTTTCCAAACCTGCACTAAATTCTTCTAACACACATATATCTATGTATGCAGGCTATTAGAGCTATAAATATTTGTCAAAGGGAGAGTCTAGGAATGGTGGAGGAAAACAAAGGCTTGATGGGAACAAGAATTCAGGCATTGTCTCAATGTCTAAATCAGAACATGTGTATGGAGTCAAAGTTAAACGAGTTCAATGGCTTCCGAGGTGTTCTTTGTGCAATGAGGAGTGTTAGTTCATTGCTTCTGATGATTTTGCTATGTGGGGTGGCATATTGTTGGTCTTCCTCTTGCTTTGACCAACAAGGCTATGAAGGGCACATGGTTTTTGGATCAAGTTTTGCGGTTTCTATTGCGAGATTGCAGCAGAAAGTTGCACAGGAGATTGATCAGAATAATGGGCAGCCAGGGATTCTGCTACTTGAATTCCAACAAGCAAAGATTGCCATGGAGGAATTGAAGGAGGAGTTGGAGAGAATGGTTGGTTATGATGCACAATATGAGATCCAAGCAAAAGTTGACAACTTGAAACATTGTTTTGGGTTATTGAGATGTGGGGTTGAGACTATAACAGGGCAACTTGATGATTTCTTTGATGAGATTGTGGAAGGAAGGAAGAAGCTTTTGGATATGTGTAGTCATAAGTAGATGTATATAATTTGGTTTAGTGAAGCCATAGCAAAGGGGAAAAAATACTTGAGAGCAAAATGAAGCTCTCTAAGGAAAAATAAGGAAAAAAATGATAAAATTATGTTGAAAAATGGAAGCAATGTCATAATTTTTTTTCTGATCTACCTATTTTGTTTTAATTTGCTGAGTTGATAATTAATTGGTTTACAAGCTGGCTTTGGTGCTGAGGCCTTGATGAAGCTTTTACAATGAAAACCCAAGAAAAGAAAAAAATTTGCAAAAGAAGAGAATGTGATTCTTGCTTTGAAGTAAAGCAACATTACTCATGTCATACATGAGAAACCAGAATTTTAAGATGCCACATGCCTTCGAGTAAGAGAAACATCTTTCTATACAGAAGAGTAGTATTCTTTTCCTGTATTCAGTACATGGGAAAGAAATTTAAAAAAAAAAATCAAAAGAAGATAGAAGATATATTATTTGTTAAAAATAAAATGATGCTTTTTCTTTATCTATGGTTAGAATCTTTTGTCAAGCATAACTTGGGATCACCGGATCAATATGCTTTTGTGTGAGGGAATTTCCTCTCATTATCCCAAAATTGAATAAAAAAATTATATACTATAATATTGTCAATGTATTGAACAGTTTCATCTGCATTTTATATCAGATGTAAACCAAATGTGTTAAAAAAATTCAAGGAAATAAAATATTGAAAAAGTTTTATTAGTAAGTCACGGATTAATTATACAAGTGAATTTGATAATACTACTTATATTGCTACAATAAATATAGGATTTTTACTCATACTTAAACCCTAATTCTGGTAATTTATTAAAGATAACCTAGTAGTAAGAAAAATTAGAATAATAAATAAAAGATGTTAGATTCAAATTTTAGTGTTATTATTGTAATTTTAAAAAATGAAAAAAAATCTAATACAAATTTATCCTTACAGTAAATTCATAGCATCTTATCTAAAACCTTATTAGGATTATAATTTTTTGTTGAATTTATTTATTGACACTCAATTGAGACTTCTTATTACACTTTTAATCCAACAAAATTCACAAATGTACTCAATGCCCTTTTGCGGAGGTTAAAGAAAATTCAGTTTGTTAGATTACATTTTTAGTGTTAATGTTGGCAATCTGTATTGGCTTTAAATGGATAGTTTATAGCGTGTAAAGAAGAGAAACAAATTATGCAGTGAAAATAATGTAACCTTTTCTGCAAAGGCTAACGGTATCTGACATGGTTAAGAGAGAAAGAGAAAAAGCTTCTCCCCTGTAAAGCCTAAAAATATACTATGTGAAATCTACCTTTCAAATAAAGCACTCTAGTCCCAAGGGTGGTTGATAACTCAACAACAAGAACAGATCTTCTTCCTCTGTTAAAGTTAAATTGATTGTCTGGGAAAGGAAGAAAGTAGATATGATAATGATTTGTAACATAGAAAAAAGGATTGTGCTACCTTCTTACTGGACAAAGGGAGAAACTTAGAGAACAAAATTATATTTTAATGAAATAATAGCAAAGTTTCTTTTTCACCTTGTTTGTTTGACAATCTCTTTTTACCATCTTTTTGGATATCAAAATTTCTCAATTAATTTGGTTACTTTAAAGTAAGGATAGATGGCCTAGTGCTGATTTAATTAAATAACGTGACGGCGGGGAAATCTTGTTTTCATATGCATTTAATTCTCATGTTGCTCAACGGTTGGGGAATGAAAGGAATTTCTTCTCTAGATTTTTCTTTTTTAAAAGTCTAGGTTTACTTTTGAGCAAAATCCACACATCTTAATCAAAAAAGAATTCGTTAGCTTTTTGATGATATGTTTGGTTTAAAAGAGAAAGCGAAACAGTAAGAAAATGAGAAGATTATGTAAAGTTGTTTCATTATAGAGAAAATGAAATAAAGTTAAACTCTTTTTTTTCTTCTGTTTATTTGGTTGGATAGAGCATAGTATATATAATAAAAATTAAAAAAAATAAAGAAGTGATTTAAAATAAAAATAATTTAGTCGTTTATTATATAATTCTTTCCCTTTTTGAAGATATAGTACAGGGATGACAAATAAACCTCTACTCGTGAATAATACTCAAACTCGTCCCGACTTTAACGAGGAATACCCGGTTTGACCGGATAAAATACAGGTAAAACTCGATATGTCAAACCGGGTACGGGTACGAGTATGTATATACTTGTACCCGTACCCGTACCCATCTCCAATTGAATTATGTTAAAAAATTTAATATTTTATTATGTATAGTTATTTATTATAATATGAAACATTTATAATTGTTTAATTATTAAGAAATTTCTTAATTAAAATATGAGATAGGAAAATAATTTAATTATAATTATAATATAATAAAAAAATAATTTAAAAATATTGTGTATTTTTTTTTGTAAAAAAAAAATTTTTTTACGGGTACAGGTATATCCGATACCCAACGGAGACAAGGATGGGGACAGAAATTACATACCCAGTAAGTATGGGTACAGGTACAACGATGGGTTTAAGTCGCGATAACGGGAACGAATATCATGAAACTCGTACCCGACCCACCATGTTGTCATCCCTATTATAGTAATGCCAAACTATGGAAGAATTTTTTTCCAAAAAAGTTTATCATCATTCATGCCACTTTATAGTGTTCTAAACATACGTTTAATAAATTAAAAATTGTTAACTTATATAACTTGACACTTATATTTCTTAATTAAAGATCAAAATTTAATCTTCATTTTTAACATGAAATTGCTATTGAAATTTGGAAGTACCATTTTACTCTTGTAGGGATATATTGAGTGACAAAGATATTTTTATAAGTTTAATTTTAATACATTGTAAGTATAGTTTACATTACACTATCAATCAATTATAAATCATCTTAAATATGGCTTTTATAATAGTAATAATATAATCCAATAATTTTGCCATGCTTAACAATTAATAATTAAATGACATTGCGAAAAACTTTTACATTATCATCACATATATTTCAATGATTTTTTTTTATAATCATTCCATCTTTTTAATAAATTCCTCTCTTTTAAAGAATTTTAAAAAATTCTCTTGATCAAACTTTAGTAACGTAATGCTGGAAAATCTAAAAAGAAAAGTAACAAGAAAGATTAAAAAAAGAGTAAATTAACTTGTTTTAAATCAACAACGATTGAAGATGGGTTAGTACTTTAGCCTCAAGGATTAGGATATTAATTAACTAGCTTTTCAATTTCGTTTGAGTACGTGAAATAGTTTAATTAGTATTTAGTTCTAGTATTAGCTAGTATCTTGCAATGCACATAATGATCTAAAGTCAAATCCTAGCTCTCTCTCTATATAAATATATACCTCAGCATTTAGCAGGCAAAGATTTTGTTACGGGATTATAGTTCATCTTTTGCTAATTATAACTTGCATCAACCAAAAAGAACTCTCGTGTGCACACTGCACAGCGAATTGTACATTCATAATTCGATCGAATTTAGCAGCCTCATAACTTAAGGTCTAATTATATTTAAATAAAATGCATAAACGACGACAAAATAAACTTGGGTTAAAGCTAAGAAAATCAAATTAAATCTCAAGCATGGAAGAATAGATATGACATATTCTCTCATCAGTTATGACAAAGAGATCCAAACATAATCCCCTTAATGTCGAGTCCATGATTCATTTGTAAATAATACGCTTGTCTTTATCAATAAAGGTCCCTATCTACTGCAAGCAAGTAAATAAACTAGTGGAAAATTGTTCTAATTTAGGAAGTAATTTGGAGTTCAAGTTTAAATAAGTAACTGTACTAAATATTTAATGAAAAAGTTTTGTCATCTATAATAATCTTACTCAATAATGAGATTGTTTTATGAAAGATACATGTAATCTTTATATAATAATAAAAATAAATAAAGTGTCACTATCAAAGTCACTTGGTGGCTCCGTTGAAAATTTGTAAAAAGTGCTTCATTTGCGTTGCTATTACCAGGATTGGTGATCACTTTTGGTGAAAATACATTGTATGTGGCAAAGGAAGAGGTTGACGTTTCAGATGTTCTAACAGAGTGTGCCACCACTCCCTTGTGTTTTTCTGTGTTTCTTGCCGTGAATTCAGATTAATCTTCACCGTCTAAAAGCAGAACTAACGTGTCACTAAATTACACTGATGTGGTAAGAATGATGAACACGTATGGCTACACTAGCAATGCCTAACTTGTGAAGAAATATGCATGAATATGAGAATTAATGAATTCAAGGGGGCAACAACTAGCTCATTTGCACATTTTTGTTTCAAACCAATTAAATAAGGTAGGGTCGGATCAGGTTGATTTTTGGAAAGTTTTATCTTGAGTCTGAACTGAAACCAGGCAAATAAATTTAAGTTGTAGTGATGGGTGTAGTTGCATGAAAATTGAGTCATGGAATTTAAGGACACTTTATCCTTAGTAAGAGAGATTAGTCAAGTACACAAATCTAGATCATAAAAAAATTAAAGAGAATAATCATAAAATGTAATGATCATAACCCACTTCCAATCTCAGTTTCCTATTTCATTCATGTCATAACTCTGCTTTAAAGGGGAGAAAATAAATGCCTCATACTTAGTACTTCACAATTACAATCCCTTCACAGCTAAAAACAAACCTTGTATCACATATACAAAAAAATGTACAGTTCAACTTTATGTCATAAAACTAAATTTTATACATAGATAAGGCAAAGCACTCGCCTTAAGGAAAAAATTGAACAAAATCTATTTAATTATTTCTTCTATTTACCAACCAAACCCTCATAGAATCAGATCACTGGAAGCTGCAGGTGTAGTTTTTGCCTCGTTGACAATGTTCATGATCTCTTCTATGCTTTGAAGAGAAGATTTTGCATTTTCTTCACTGTAGTAAACATCTTGAGCCTCTTCTCTCAATTCCTTTGGCAAGTTCTTCAAAAACCATGGATGTGACTTAATTTCCTTCATGGTGATTCTCTACATTATAATTATAAAGCTTAGTTACAACATGCTCTAAGTAATATCACGGTTCATGTCATAATCACAAGTGTTTTTTCTAATATGTTAAATAGCAATGTTCATATACATACCATTGCTGGATTTGCCACAAAAATGCGAGATATCAGATTTTTACAGTCTAGAGATAAGCCAGCTTTGTCAGGGATCTGGTATTGAACAGCCATAACTCTCTGGATAGGAAAAATATATATAGGGAATTAAGACATGATGAATCTATCAACAGAGGTAGGTAGTTAAAAAATAAAGCAAATTACTTGTACGGTTTTCTTGAGATTCCGGTGATCATCTTTGTCCTCAAATGGCAACGTTCCTACCAGCATTGTATAAAGTATTACTCCACAGGACCATAAATCTACCAACTGAATAGTTACAAAATAGAAACACATCAGCAAAAGAAACAAAACTAGCAAAAAGTACAGAGAAAAAGAAAAGGATAAAATTGGTGTTGTTCTCTTATTAGAATTGAAGTTTTATTTTACTGATATACATTGTTTACATTTAATGCAGATACATTGAAGTACAATTCTATTTCTGATTGAAAAACAACACTAATTGTACCAATGATACTTTATCGAAATTTTGTCTAAACAAAAACTCATCAAGTCAAAGTTAACTTAAGGCATTTTAAGTGCTTCATAGTCATTGAAATATATTGTTTTGTATTTCACTCTGACAAATAAACATCATTGTGTGTGCTAAGTGACTACAGAACAATTGAACCAGATTGGAAGTGTGACTACTTTTATTCTTTTTCATGGTTGGAATTTAGAAACTGAAATATTACCTTTCCATCGTAAGCTTTGCCAGAAATGACCTCTGGTGCAATATAGGCTGGAGTTCCTATCATTGAATGAGGCCTTGAATGGAGTAGATATGACTAGAAAAGTAAAGCTTATCAGAAGCAGAAATCACCAAATAATGTGCATTTAATTAGTTCTTTGTTTAAATCTGTTAGGATCCCTCCTTAATTGGAGAGGTTCTAGAAAATTCTAGAACTTTCTAGAGAAGTATAGAATTTTCTAGAACATTCTAGAGAATCCTAGAGAATTGTAGAATTCTCTAGAAGTTTGTGGAATAGTGTGGAATCCTCTGGAACATTCTAGAGATGTGTGGAGCCTTCCGGAACCTTATGGAAGAGTATAGAAGGATATAGAAGGGAGTAGAGATTCCTGGAATGTGTGGAACATTCTAGAGAACCAATCTCAACCCTTGATCCCCACCATTCATTCTGAAGGTGGAGTAGTATAAATAGGGGTAGGAGGCTTCATTCCTATCCAATCCAAGCCAAGAGTGAATCCACTTCTTAGAGTGAGAAAGTAAGAAAGCCTCTTTGTGAGAGAAGAGAGATAGTCTCAAGTTTTGAGTGTGCCACCATAGAGTGAGTCTATTTTGTAATTACATTCTTGTAATCCTACTATTCTTTTGCATAGTGGAAGAATCTCCATATTGGAAAATTTAACTCGTGTGCTCCCATTACTACCTTTAATTTCTAAGTGCCTATCTTAACTTCACGAAGCGGGAAAGTCCGAGTTTTCCCAACAGTGGTATCAAGAGCCAGGTTCATCAAAAGTTGTCATTAGCTCGTGCAGTTCAAGATGGAGGACAACGTTGCTCATGATGGAGACATGTTCAAGCTTACTGCCAATAATTATTCATATTGGAAGCCAATGATGGAGGATCATTTATACTGCAAGGATTTGCATGAGCCCATCATCTATAAAGAGAAGGTGGAAGGCAAGAGCGATGCTCAGTGGGAGCTATTGAATCGGAAGGCCGTTGCTATGATCCGTAAGTACATCGACAAATCTCTCTTTGAGCATGTTTCTACATACACAAATGCTTATGAATTATGGGCAAAACTTGAGTCCATGATTCAAAAGAAAACACCTCGTAACAAAGCCAATTTAGTTCGTCGATTGGTGAAGCTGGAGTATAAGGATGGTCATAGTATGATTGAGCACTTGAATAACTTCAAGGGGCTTGTAAATCAATTAACCAAAATTGAGATGAAGATTGATGATGAGTTGCAAGCCCTTCTACTCCTTAGTTCCTTACCGGAAAGTTGGGATACGCTAGTAGTCACACTTAGTAACTCTGCTCCCGAAGGAAAGCTCACTATGGATGCTGTTAGTGATAGCCTTCTTGGAGAAGAATCGAGGAGAATGGAACGAGGTGAGTCTATCCATCCCGAGGCTAATATCATTGAAAACCGGGGAAAGAATGAGACTCGTGGACGTAGTAAGAGCCGAGATCAGTATCAATCTCGAGGTAGATCCAAATCACGCTCGAAGATTACATGCTATTACTGTGGAAGAATGGGTCATAGGAAAATGGAGTGTCGGTCTTTCAAGAGAGATCAGAAGGCAGGTACTGTCAAGCCAGACCAAGTCATCCCAATGAAGAAGCAAGAAGAAAAGACTACCACTGCCGTAGCATCTAAAGAAGATATGTTATATATCATTAGAGAAGGTAACATCCTAAACATTGCTTATGATGATAGCTCTTGGATTGTGGATTCTGGTGCTTCCTTCCATGTTACTCCTCATGGAAGTTTCTTCTCATCCTACCAAAGTGGTGACTTTGGTACCGTTCAAATGGGAAATCAAGATAGAAGCAAGATCGTCGGGATAGGAGACATCATCCTGACAACGAGCACCGGATGTAGGCTAGTCTTGAAAGATGTGAGGCATGTCCCGGCCATGCGCCTCAATCTTATCTCTGCTGGAAAGTTAGATGATGCTGGTCTGATGAATTACTTTGGTGAAGGAAAGTGGAAGCTCACCAAAGGTAGTCTAGTTATGGCTCGAGGAAAGAAAGAAGGATCCTTGTACGTAATGCAAGCTAAGCTTTGCAAAGGAGAGGTAAATATAACCACTGATGACTTAGAGGTTTGGCATAAACGACTTGGGCACATCAGTGAGAAGGGTCTTCACATACTCGCTCGTAAGCAACTCCTCTCTAATGTGAAAGGTAAATCACTTGATCCTTGTGCTCACTGTTTAGCTGGAAAACAACATAGAGTTGCATTTCAAAGATCTTCTCCGCCCGTAAGGAGAAAGAACATTCTCGACCTTGTACACACTGATGTGTGCTCAATGTCTGAGAAATCCATTGGGGGTGCACTGTACTTTGTGACCTTCATTGACGATCATTCAAGGAAGGTGTGGTTGCATTTGCTAAAATCAAAGGATCAAGTACTTGATGCCTTCAAGGAATTCCACGCTCTGGTAGAACGTGAGACTGGACGAAAGATCAAGTGTGTACGATCTGACAATGGAGGTGAATATAGAGGCCCATTTGAAACCTATTGCAAGAAACATGGCATTAGGTTAGAGAAGACTCCACCCAAGACACCGCAATTAAATGGGCTAGCTGAGAGAATGAATAGAACAATCGAAGAAAGAGTTCGCTGTGTGCTCTCTCATGCTAAGTTACCCAAGTTATTTTGGGGAGAAGCTATAATGGCTGTAGTTGACATTGTCAACCTCACACCATCAGTCCCTTTGGGTGGTGCCATCCCAGACGAAGTTTGGACGGGCAAAAGGGCATCATACAATCATCTCAAAGTGTTCGGGTGCAGGGCATTTGTTCATATCCCCAAAGATGAGCGAGCAAAGCTTGATGCAAAGACGAAGGAGTGCATCTATCTCCGCTCACCCAAGGATGAATTCGGCTATCGGCTATGGGATCCAATAAATAAGAAGGTGGTCCGTAGTAGAGACGTTGTATTCTTCGAAGACCAAACAATCGAAGACATTAAAAACTCAGAGAAGCCAAGATTGAGAAAGAGTACCGAACTCACTCCAGTTCAACATGAGAATAATGAGACACATCAAGACAATGATCCTGAAGAAGATGAGCCTGTGTTAGAGCAAAGCAACCAGGAGACTCATGATGAACCAGCTCAGGAAGATCCTCAATCTAGTTCTCTACCAGCACCAGAGCCGAGGCGTTCCTCAAGGGAAAGAAGACCATCCACTTGGTATAACACTGAGGAGTATGTTATGCTCACTGATGAGGGGGAACCTCAAAGCTATAAAGAAGCAATCAAGGATATTCATAAAGAAGAGTGGAGGAAAGCCATGCAAGAAGAAATGCAATCCTTGCATGAGAATCACACTTATGAACTCGTAGAGCTGCCAAAGGGGAGAAGAGCCTTAAAGAACAAGTGGGTGTACCGGATCAAAACCGAAGATAACAACACAAAGCCTCGTTATAAAGCTCGGTTGGTCGTTAAAGGATTCGGTCAAGAAAAAGGTATTGACTTTGAAGAAATATTCTCACCCGTGGTAAAGATGTCATCCATTCGAGTTATCCTTGGCATAGCAGCAACTCAAGATTTAGAGATTGAACAACTTGATGTCAAGACGGCGTTCCTTCATGGTGACCTAGAGGAAGAGATCTACATGGAGCAGCCCGAAGGATTCAAAGTTCCAGGCAAAGAAAATTTGGTGTGTCGCCTCACAAAGAGTTTATATGGCCTTAAGCAAGCACCTAGGCAATGGTACAAGAAGTTTGAATCCTTCATGGCAGAACATGAATTCAAAAAGACAGAAAGCGATCATTGTGTCTTCATAAAGAGGTATGCAAGTGGCGACTTCCTCATACTTCTACTCTATGTTGATGATATGTTGATTTTTGGACAAGATCGCATAAAGATAGCTGCTTTGAAGAAAGATCTAAGCAAGAGTTTTGCCATGAAAGATTTGGGACCGGCTAAACAAATCCTTGGGATGAGAATAACTCGTGATAGATCAAAGAGACTGTTGTGGCTATCCCAAGAGAGATACATAGAGAAAGTGTTGGAACAATTTAACATGGACAAATGTAAGCCAGTTAACACACCACTTGCTGGACACTTCAGGTTGAGTTCGAAGCAAAGTCCCACAAGTGAGAGAGAAATGGAGGAGATGAAGAAGATTCCATATTCATCTGTAGTAGGCAGTCTCATGTATGCGATGATATGCACAAGACCAGATATCGCCTATGCAGTTGGAGTCGTCAGCCGCTTCTTAGCCGACCCCGGGAATGAACATTGGCTAGCGGTCAAATGGATCCTCCGATACTTACGTGGAACTTCCAAAAGATGCTTGTGCTTTGGAAAAGGGAAACCTGTGTTACAGGGATACACAGATGCAGACTTGGCTGGAGATATTGATTCAAGGAAATCAACATCTGGATACCTAACTACTTTTGCAGGGGGAGCCGTTTCTTGGCAATCAAAACTGCAAAAGTGTGTCGCATTATCCACCACAGAGGCGGAGTACATTGCAGCTACTGAAGCTTGCAAGGAGATGCTGTGGATGAAGAACATGCTTCTTGAGCTGGGAGTAGAACAAGAAAGGTATGTGGTAAAGTGTGATAATCAAAGCGCAATATACTTAGCAAAGAACTCAAAATTTCATTCCCGCACGAAGCATATTGACACAAGATATCATTGGATCCGAGAAGTCCTCGAGGAAAAGAAATTGCATCTTGACAAGGTTCACACAGACGAGAACTGGTCAGACATGATGACCAAGGTAATACCGACAAAGAAGTTTGAAGATTGCTGTCAAGGTGCAGGTCTACTACTGCCCCCCAATTAAGTCGGGAGGGGGAGATTTGTTAGGATCCCTCCTTAATTGGAGAGGTTCTAGAAAATTCTAGAACTTTCTAGAGAAGTATAGAATTTTCTAGAACATTCTAGAGAATCCTAGAGAATTGTAGAATTCTCTAGAAGTTTGTGGAATAGTGTGGAATCCTCTGGAACATTCTAGAGATGTGTGGAGCCTTCCGGAACCTTATGGAAGAGTATAGAAGGATATAGAAGGGAGTAGAGATTCCTGGAATGTGTGGAACATTCTAGAGAACCAATCTCAACCCTTGATCCCCACC